CCGTACAGAACCTTGCCAGCTTTTTTTTTTATCCGCGGTTCTATAGTACGGGTAATGCTCAATGATATACGAATAGATGCTATTCAATACTTAATAAAGGTTTCGGTTTCTGTTTCGGATTTCTAGCCAACAAAAGTATTGGAATTGCGCAAATTACAGTTTTTTCGGTTCCGGTTTATTAAAATTTTTTTATTTGTTTATTAAATTTTTTAAAAGTTGTTATAAAAATGTTCTTTCTGATATTCTCACTATTAAGAAAACTAAATCTGTAAAATTATGTTAATTAATGGGAAACGGGGTGTTAAAAGACAACAAAATATTTTCAAGAGAATAGTTAGATATGATATATTTAACTTTTACTAATATTTGATAATAATAATTATGTATATCTTCATATTTATAGTTACATAGGTAATAATGCTGTTGCAAATGTACAATATTTGACAGATCGGATATTACGCGCGATTCTTGAAAATATCATCAGCATTTATGTATACGCATATGCGTATGTATATCCAGTACAATGCGTGACACATTTAGTATCCCTTAACTAAGCACGCGGGGTGTCAAACACCCCAAAACGAATTTCGTCAAGTTTAGGCATTTTTCTCGGTCGGTTAATCTATGAATGAAAATTAGTTTTTTTTATAAAAATCAAGATTTCAATTCAGAAAAAAGGGGCACAGGCGATTATGAAAATAAATACCTTTTTTTAAAGTACCCACTACAATCATAATATTCATAATTTTTTTCGTTAAGTACTCTATCTCAAGAACATTGTGTTAAATTTTTATCAAAAAATATTTATTTTTGACTGAGATATGATTTTTTTAGCAAAACAAGCCATTTTTCATTAAAAATTTCATAGTTTAGGCTAATGGGTATCATTTTCCAGTGTTTAATGTATGTACGTGATTTTTTCAAGCAAGCTTATTGGAGCCTCCATTTCGCCGTACCCAACGTTCAAAGTGTGTGGGGTGTACAACACCCCGTGTGCAGATAACGTTCAATCGCGGACGTGTGCTAGTTAAAGGGTATAATTTAGTCCATCCAGATATTTGCATCGTCTATAAATTGTTCCATTGCATTTTATGTTATACATTTTTACATAAGTTTCTATTCATATCGATCGCGTCCATGTCGCGTTGATGCGATGTCGCAGTTCATGAATGGACCACTGCAATGTACAATAGTAAGCTCGCCTAAATCTAAGACTCTTGAGTCGTAGACTCTTGAGAGCGCACTACCCATATTCACAATTGGAAGGACACTTGCAAAACATTTTCTGAAACCAACGTTCGTGATTTGCGCCGGAATTGATCCTTAGATTCTCAATCTTTACATACGGAGAAAAAATTGCTACTAAATTAAAATAATCCTTCACTGACGGATGAAGGATTACACATTCTGCTATTGCAGCATAATCATTACTATTTTGGTAACAAAATAATTTTTAGATACCTACCAAAATTATCTCCAACAAGTAAAATTTTAATATTCTTACATTTGCTGTCCAATAACTGACGAAATTTACTACAAAATAAAATATAATGCGTAAACTTTTTACAATACAAACTTTTTTCTCTGGTATTTATGTAGTTCCTTAATGTGAAATCGATAATAAATCTTCTCTTCTTTGCAATAGATTAATTTAAATAATTAAGAAAAAAAAATATTATATTCATCTATTTTACTAAACTTTATTAAAAATAACGCAGCACAGTAGATATGATCGTCGCATATGTAAATAGTTGTAAAAAAAATAAAGAAAAAAGACAATTGCACGCATAATCAAGAATTTAAATAATAGATAATTAATTGATTAAGATTAAATATTTCCCTTTTTTTCGTTGGGAATTTAAAGATCAAAAATTAATTTGAAATTAACTTAATAACAGGCTTCCTATGTGCGCTTGTAAAAAATTCGCCAAGTACGGGCAAACCCAAAACGACAACCATTCTTTACACAATAATCAATTTTCAGTCTGAGAAACGAATGAGAGACAGAAATACAGAAAAGTCTTAACGTACTATTCAACATGCTACATACATATATAATATCGATTATTATAAATTTATGATTTCTGTTGTTAGTACAATTGTGTAATAATTAACAAAAAATTGTCTTGCAAAATAAAAACAATTTTTAATTTAATTGTAATACAAACAAATAAATTTATTCTTACATATCTTTTTTCTTCATTGGATGCCATATATTCTCAAAATTATCGATTAAACACAAACGCATGTCGCTAACTCGTTCTGTTTTGACAAGTTTCTGTCTTTGACAAGTAGCATAAAAAATATATGTCCATGAAGAAGACATGTGCTTCTTGATGGAAAAAATATTGTTTATTGTAGACAGTTGGCGATTGAATTTGCGATCGTACTTTGTGTTACAAAGAATAATACTCCGCAATTTATTTGACTTATTAATATGTACTCCTAACGTTAATGCTGACGCGAGATATATATACCATGATGTAGTAAATATACAAAACGTCAAAAGAAAGATGTATGCGACAGAGTGTCCTATATGTTGTAATATTTATAGATTAATATCCAACATATTTAATAGCAACTCTTGTAATATAGTACTGTCGATACTGTATGAAAGTCTTACGTAGGTTGTTTTATCAATCGCTCCCACCGGTAATTAATCCTTATAACGGGAATAACATGAATGGCAAAAATAGGACATCTTGGCCGAGCATATTCTTTTGTGCCCTTTGACTTTTGCAAGTAAAAACTTTGGTGTTTTTTAATAAAAGTTATTTGAATCATTTGGTTTTACTGCAATGCACTTTTTTCACTTACTGAATTTGTTTGTCAGACAAATCGTTAATGCTGTAGGTAAATTTAAGAATTTGATCGTTTCTGTGCGAAGAGTGTATAGAACGCATAAAAAAGTGAGTGGGTAACACGTTCTCATTATTTCGTTGCGAAACTTTGAGATAATTTTGAGAGTGATTTGGGATTGCCGTTCGCAAAAGAAACGCGTCGCACACTTCCATTTATTTCACGCAAACCACTCGATATAATATTATGAGTACGTCGTATGCTGTATTTGCTCTTTAGAAATCAGCATATCCTCCACGCGCGGGAGGAGTAGATCTCACTAAATAGATAAAATCTTAAAATCTAAATAAATATCTTAATAATAGCCAATAACAGTATATCTTACAATAATCGAGTTGTAACGCTATTGTTATCTATCTGTATGTTATTACGCATTCGAATCACAGGAAAGTATAACAAAAATTTCATCTGGATAAAGATTGCGACAAGTGTTCTCCAACAGCAGCGCGTCGCACACGTGATGGACGAGAATCCGACGTTATCATCCTGCGTTCGAGAGCGTATACGATTTATCGCTTCACTAGTTTTTTCGCTAGTTTTTCCGCTAATTGTCAAAAGCACGATCGTGCTCTACGAATTATATGGATTCTTTATTTATCTAATATCGGCGTGATTGTGGCCGAGCTCGAATAGATTAAATAGATGGAGCATAGAAAACTGTTTACAATAGACAGTTAGAAGTAGAAGGCAGAAACGAACTTCAGTTGCACGGTCCCACTTTTTACACATTTATACCAACTAGCATCGGCAGGCTGGGCGTCTACGTGTAAAACGTTATTTTTCAATAATCTATGCATATGTCCGAATTATTCCTCACGTGTTTCTTTCTGATGCATTATCATTATATTACATGCTAAGGTGAAAAAAAATGACGTCGCAATTTTATTCTTCGGCCATTTAATCGCGGACTTGATTAACCCAGGAGCTTGTCAGCTTGCCAAAATAGTGCAATTTCAAACATGTGCCAAGTTTCTTGTTTTATGCATTAGTAGGTTTCCCATAACTGTTATAACTCGCGTAGTTATAGGATAGATTTATTATATTTTACACGTAGAAGAATATATGTACATAGGTGTCCAGCACTGATTAGTAACTCGAGGGAGAAAGACCCGTAAGAACGTTCCGTCAAAAAGGAGAGAGATAGAAAGAGAGACAACGGAGAGATTTGATTTTGATGTATCTCCTAAATTCATTTTTACCCTAGCGCATACTATATGTAGTATATAGGCACATGATCCACGAAAACGCGCGCGTTTAGAAAAGATTCGCCGATCGTTCAGATCCACCCGAGACCGTTTAGAGTTCTAGACGAGATTTGCGGGAGTTAGTGGTGCTGCTTTATACCATTAGCGCATTGTGTCCACTAAATTAGACTAGTCCGTTGGACGTGTTCGGCGATAAGAGAATATATATCGACGTGTCGGTCTAAACTAGAGCGGAGGGATCTGAAGTTTAAGACAGGCAGAAAGAGAGAGAGAAAGAAAGAAAAAGAGAGAGAGAGAGAGGCGATCCCCCGGACACGGTTTTCTAACTTTCCACTAAAGTAGATTGCGTGTTATCACATTTTAAGCCGCGAGAGAGGAGCGAATTTCTCGTTCGATTCGATCGTATAACCTTCTACGTTATTACTAGTTTAATAATGATATACGCATTAATTAAATTTATTGTAGGAAAAGAGAACTCATTATTTGTATGCAATAAGTCTAGGTTGTCGCCTTAAACGATTTCTAAGTGTATATAGTATATATATATATTAACCCGATTGCGTGCACGGGGTTTACGTATTTATTATGTATAATGTATACATGCGTTTAATGATAAAAATTATATTACATACTTTTTCGGCCGATTCACGAACACTACTTGCATTTTGAGATCCTTTAAGGGAGTATTTTGTGATATAATATTAGATATCTACATATTCGCGTATCTACAATTATATAATTCTTTTCAATTTTTTTCAATAATTAATTATGATTCTCGAAGAAGAGTAATTAACGTTTTTGGCCAATCATAATTTAACCATCTTTAGACAAATCGCAGATATTTTTTTTTTTTAAGGCAGAAACTTTAATAGCCTTCATAAATTAAAAATCTAACATTTTTCTCCAATTTATAGAATAAAAAATAAAGTTCTTAATTAATATAATATATTTGAGCTTCTTTAACAAAAAATATATTTGACACAAAATAATTAGATAGTTATTGCTGATACAACTGGGAAAGAGAAGTCATTCCGCAAACAAAAATAAATCTAAAATATGCAATAGAATTTTATTAAAAATTCTTTTAACATTTTCGATTTATACATCGTATGAGATCACCTTTTCTCCAGTTATATGAACAATAACGAACCGATACAATAATTATCGGAATAATAATTTATGTATACAACGAAATAACGATGTGCTTAAAGCGCGAGGTCACTGAATATCTTTTATCTCTACATACCTATAAACGGAATTCATTAACTTATTTTACGTACTTCGTTGACTAAATCGTTTACATCGAGAATGTCATTTGGTAGGTCGCGAAAGGAAATTTGATTTTCATATAGCGCCACGTTAATGACGTTTATTGATTGTCTCTACTTCTATAATGATAACCATCTCTATCTACTCATAATTGTATAGTACCTAAATTTCGTTTATCGAGCACGTGTTCTTTCTCACCGATGTTCGTCGGGTCTCTTTACGCGGGCGCTGTGCAAAGAATTTCCCATTATCTATTTAAGTCGCTCAAAAAGGTGAACTTGAGAAGCTCGAAGATGACGAAATTAAAACTATCGACATGTGACAAGTGACAAGTGACAATTGTCAAAAAAAATGAAAAATTATTCGTCGCGCCGCGCCGCGCCACGTCATCACGTATCGCAAGAGCTATAAGTTGCATTACCATTATCTATATAATCATTTATGATCTATATGTTATCGTAAGTTTTATTACTCGATCGTATTAAAGTGGAGTAAATTAAGTGAGAGGCACCATAGAGTGTGTGCTCGTACGCACGTATAGGCTAAAGCGTGTTTCATAGAGTATTTTGCTTACTTTTTCCAGTGCACTTTCTTCACATATTTCGATGAGATACACACTTATAATAAACTGATAGTCAAGCATCGCGAGATTTAATAAAAAGTGGTCGGACTGCACGGAGCGCCGTGTAAAATTGTCAAAACTGTCAAGAGTGTGCTGATTATTCGACGGCTGATTATTATCAAAATCGGAGGGTTTCTTGAGTATTCATTGATGTGCTCTCTTATCGAAAACTAGAAGTTTCTCGGCAACGCGTTTGGTCGAGAAAGGAAAAAATTTAATAGCAGCACTTTATTTCTTAAAAGGTATCTGTCCCCGAAGATGACTGTTAAATTCTGTTTTCTCAACGTTATAATATTGATTCTTGACAATCATTTTATTATAATCGATAGAGGTTGTGCTTGATTCAAGAACAATTGAGCATTCGACATAAATAATAAATTATTTTGTAAAACTTTTATATATCTTACACATATGTATATATGTATATATTCAGCATGGAAAATACGAAGAAAACTGGTACGATACAAAAAATATTATGATATAAAAATAAGTGTAGAGACAAGTTTTGTAACTTCGTTCACACGCGTAAAACAAAGTAGACACAACGCATATAATATCAAGTGTGCTCCATCGGCGATATATGTATAGTCCACTGATGCAACGAATTGATCGGCTCGAATCAAGCACCACGTCCATTGCAGCAGTAAAGTGTGGTGTTTTGGTTCACGAGAAAGTCTTGTAAAATGTGTATAATTTTGGACCCTACACCTATATATATATATGTATGTATATAATGTATATGTATACATATATGTCTCTCTGTGTGATTAAAAATATTCTTAGAAGCCGCTCGGTTTGAGAAAGTTGCTAAATCTATCCTCTCTGTATATATGTACATAATAATACATAAATAAGAGGTGATAGATATATAAAGTGTGATAGATCTCCACCTGATAAAGAACACTCTCCCGCCCGCGAAAGACTGGCCGCTAATCGATCAACGCAAAACCGCAAGTCACGAGGCGACGCGAATCCATCTATCTGAACTTATTAACGTCGTATTGCTTGTCTCTCATTTAGATCTAGTTTTGGCAGTCGAAAAATTATAAGAACTGCAGCTATCCTTCTTATCGGTTCAATCAGTCGTTCGATCGTTCTTTCTTAAGTCGTTCGATCAATCTAATTTAACGAAAAATTGTTAAATTGCTCGTCTAAGAGTTCCGTGCCACGTTGCGGTTCGCGGTTTTGATCTTAAATAAAAGAGCTTTGTAACATTGCGAGTCGTGCGCGGGATTCAAGATTATAATGGTGCATCTCCGATTTTAAAATGTTCCATAAGATAATGTAGGTACAAAATATAAATTGTAATATTGTTTATATGCGAGAGTGACACGCCTCCACAAGAATATATATACACTTCTCTTTCGCCTTATCTCCTTATAATTCGTTAAAACATTCTCACGCGTGTATCGAAGACTAAATATTATGGATACGTACATACATATTGCATATCGCGAATTCAGCACGGAGCAGCACGCAATATCTAAATTCTACGTAGACGTATTGCTCTTTAGGAACAAGCGCTGTAGGCAAGTGCGATCGGGCAATGCCGTAAAAAAGGAAAAGAAGATGGAGAATTCGTAATATGTGAGCTCGACAAGCGAGCTTATCTCAAAATATCTATATTTGTGCTAGGCCGAATAATTAAATCGAAATATAAATAAATCGAGAGAGCTCGCGCTCGCGAAATCGAAATTGGAAACTGGAAACTGGAAACACTCCGCGAGCGACAGTTCTGAACTGGGGTTCTACTTTTGCGGGACTTCCGTGTCGGGAATCGAAAACAAAACGGAACCACAACTCGAAATCATAAACCCTGCAGAACCGTTGGAATCGCTTTGTGACCGATAAACGGTTCCGCCGCTTCTCACGAACGATCAGCCGACCGGCAGAACGATCAGCAGTCTATGAGTATAATTAAAATCTGCTCTAGGAAGTTCATTGTTGCTTATTGTTCCTTCTTATTACTTCTAGTTGGCCCAAGTGATGTTCCCATTGGCATTTATCCATTTCGGCGAACTGAAAAGATGGAACAGAGTCGATGATACTTTCTTTCTTCCTGACGACAAAACCAATCTTGGCGGGATCAACCCTCGCGCCGTCAATGAATAATGTATTTCTTCGCGCTCTTCCTTTGTTAACCGCGCGATTACCTCGTGACATTTTCATCCTCGTTTGACGAAATATCATTTCGCGCGTACAGCAACCGCGGTCTATGCTTTCTATGCCCTGGCTCCTCGCCTGATATCGTTGATTCGATTATCCATCCTGTGCGTTTGACTTCGTCGTTTGCGTTTACACTTGAGGACTCCTCTCAGCCTCGAGTAAACAACGTATTCCTCTCAAGGAGATATCGTTCTTAAGATCGAGGATATAAGAATGGCCACAATGGAGTTACAAAGATCGCCTATATTGCCAATATCAATACCGATCTCTTCGACACCGAACACGGTTTCCAGCGTCTTCCGATTGCGCTCTCTCGAGAGTCGAATGGAGTCGAATAGCATTCGCTATAATATTTGTACTTTCCGGACATGCTCGGGACAACACAATCGAGCGCGTGCCATCTTCCACATTAAGAGCTCTCGCTGAACATATTTGGCGTCACTGTGGTTATAGTAACGCGAGGCAAGATCCGTGGAACCATGGGCGATTGTAAAACGGATTGCACGAGTTCGCCGGGGGCTTTCTGTTACACATCGTCCTCTATACTACGCAAAGGTATTTGCTGTTTCTGCGCTAATGCATTTAACACATGCACCAATTGATCCAACTTCTTATCCATCACCGACAGCTGTAAACAGAAAATTTCGTACCGATGCACTCGACCGTAAATTCTTGTCGAGAGAAAGCTTACGCTTCGATTTATGCGAGGTGTCTATTCGAAATTATACATAATGGAAAAAAATTTTTTGAAAATTCCTAAATTGATTTCCTAAGCATTTTTATTCAGACATCAAAGCATTTTAAAATGCACGCTTAAAATAGATTTTAATTTAATTATTATTTAAAACAAAACATTTTTTACTTCCTTCTTTCCTATACACAATTATGAGAAAAAATAAAAAATTACTCGTTTTAAATTTAAAACAAAATAAAGAACTTTCATAAATATTTAAATAAAATAAAACTTATCTAAAATTCTACATTTAAATTATTTATAAACTTGTAAAAATATCAAAATTTATATAGCATTTTGTTATTAAAAATATAGTACTTTAATAAAATAAAAATAAAACTTTCGAAGAATTTAATTTCGCAAAAAGGAAAGTTTCTTATCTCGAGAAACTTCCTCGAAAAATCTGATTTCTTCAGACATAAAAAGATTCTCTGAATATTTTAGGTGTCTTCCAGATTTCCAAATAATAGATACCTACTTGTACTAAAAATTTTGCTTAATTGTTTATACAAAAACTAATCCAATAGTATAAATTAAAAATATATGCATAATTTTTATAATCGTCTATTTTATGCTTTCAATGAGACTATATGATATTTTAAATAATTAATTTCATTATTAGTTATTCTCGTACGGGGGATTATAATAGTTAACGCGCGAATATAATCCCAATCGTATTCTCTTCGCCATTTTGTGCATTTTTTCTTTTGGCTTAGGGAAATTTGTGAGTCGAAAGAATAATTAATAGAGAAGGATCTGCATTGTGTGCATGCAAATTTTCTGTAAAGGAAGGAGGAGAACGAAAAAATCCGAGAAAATAATTTGATAAAGATTATGCAAATATGAATATAATTCTATTGTGATTTCATCGCAAATCAATGAGCTATTTTGCATTTTTTTAAATATGTGTTAAAAAATGTATATTACATGGTTCAACAAAAAATACGTGAGCTTTTTTACAAACTCTAGAACAAGATTAATTAGTTTCCGTACTTTTTAATGCAAATAATTCCGGTCTTCAAAAATTTATTAGATAAAATTTTCAGCGATTTAATATTAAAGTTGAAGATAAGCTATTTTAGCATTTTTTATTTTATTACAGCTATGATATGTGTTTGTGTGTAGAAAAGTTTTACTCTATTTTAACAAAGTCAGGTATATCGTTAGAACTTTTATTTCTCAAAAAGAGTTGTAAAGATGAAGATTAATATTCTTGATTGAATATCGAGTCTGCTAGTAAAAAAATTGACAATTAAGCTATTGAGCTAACAATAAGAGACATAGATAATTTATCGAATATTTTCCAGTCCTTTATTCAAATGAGATTCTTAATGATTCTTAATGAGATTTTTTAAGTCGCTGAATACACGTCTAATTCAAATCTAATAATTTGTTTCAATATGATAAAACTGAAATAGCAAAAATTTTTTTTTAATTTTGAATTTTTCCAAAAATTTATATTATGAAAGGTTTTCAAGTTATGAAATACGAGTCCAAAATTAACGAATATCATGTGACAGAACCAAATGTTCAATAAATTGTCTGTGTTCATTAAAACGGCTTCTTGATATAATAAATTCAATATTGATCATGAGAATCTTATTATTTCTAATCTTTACAATGAATTTTTGTTGAAGGTTAAAAATTCTAATAATAATACTTAATTTTTAAAGAAATAAAACTTTTCTAGCATGCCGCTATAGCGATAGTATGGAAAATTACATTAAAAAAAGGTTTTATTCTTTTTTTACAGCTTTGATTTCAAATTTTTTAAAAAGTGCGACACGCGATATTTCCGCGATCAAATTCGTGTGAAACATCAAAACAGCTACATATATTTCTTTTTTCTTTGGGACTTGGTATTTTCTTGAACCATATTATTTGCATTTTTTTAAATACTAAAAGCTGTGGAAAGCTTGTAAATATAATTTTTGAAAAATATGGATTTGGAAGTAGGTTATTCAATTATGTATCATTCTCCTGCAAATACGTAGATAGGTTCACACACATGCTAGGCTATACGGAATTAGGACAGTTACATATTCATAAAAGAAACATTACGGTAATTAAAATGAAAGACGCACCTGCTGCTCCACTCGGTATAAACGCGCGCCAATCGTCATGGGTTTCACGTTCCCTGCCCGGTCGATTCCCGCCAGGTAGCTCCCCGGTTTACCCAGGGTCTGATCCAATCTCCTCTGCAACTCCTGCGGACAAATCGAACGTGCAATCAACCACTCGTAAATCTATAACCCAGACTACGCCGAAAAACGCGATGGTCGACGAGCGGCGCAGACATGAAAAGAGAAATCTTTATTCGCCGTTAAGATTTTATATTGTTAATTAATATCGCTTTACATCATTGTCCCTCAGCTTCTTGTTTCTTAGTCGTTTCTGCAACCTGATGGTGCAATTTTATGATTAAAATTTTATGATTAAAAACGGAGCGAATACGCGAGATTATAGTAATTCTTGCAATATAAAATAGACATAACGAGATTAGAATCTACGCGGCGTTATAATTAAGCAATACGTAAATGAGCTCTCGTTTTGTTGTTAGCAGTTTGAAATTTTGTCATTAGGACTCGCTGTGAAACTCCGAGCTCGAGGATGTTATCGATCTCCTAGATACATAATAGAACCCTATATTCGCTTGTCGCGAAGTACCGAAGCTTCTTCGGCAAACAAAAGACAGTGTACTCACAGAAGTTGAGTTTACTGTGATTGACGTTTTGTCTTTGCTTGCTTTTTAACGTCGCGTCGTCATTCTTCCCGCAGCAATCATCGAACGATAAAAATCGATCTATTGTTCAGGCGCAAATGAATATCAGCGACAAACATTATTTAATGCAATTTAATATTAATTGATGAATATATTATACATTATAATATATTATATGTTATAAATATATTATAAATAAATGGATAAAATTGTTAATATAGTACATAATATACTGAACTGTTACAAATCACAAATGTATTTTTGCTTAAAGTTTCACATTAAAATTATTGCATACAAAATATGAGAAGAAAATATACATAAAAATTTATTTAAAACGAGCATTATGAAAAATACAATACGGCAGAAAACGAGCAAAAACGATATTTTAAATTTATTTTATTTCAAAAATAAACAATTTCGTAACTTATTTTATTATATTATAAAAAGATAAGTAATTTTGCCTTTTGATTTTGTACCTGCCACCTTTCCTTTTACTCTTACGAACATACAGAGTATATGCATTTCTCATATAAAGCGTCACCGAAAGCGCCGCCTGAATGAGCGCCGAAAATTCATGTGTTAAAGCATTAATGATCCCACGCGTATGTGAGATCGATCGATTTGGCGCCTGATGAGCGTAGATGTGTGTAGATGTGAGCCGCGACCATTCCCCGATTAACTGACGGCTGTTTTGCGCCGTGTAGCGACGGTTACATTGTCCTGTGAACCGACACGAACTTGGCGCGACATACCCTTCGATATTGCGTGTCGGACTAATCTTTGACGATCGCGCACGGTCGATTAAACACGGGACCGGGATTCGCTATTGCCGCTATTGGTGGATCGCTCAGTAATCTGTCAAATAAGAGCAATTACTGCTTATTACACGGCCGGGGGACAGATTTATCCTATCGCGTGTCATTAACTCATCATATACGACAAATGATTTGGTATCATTTGTCGAGAGCCGCCGCGATTCGTCTCGCGAACGCTGTTACAGAGACGATGTTCTCTAAAATAACCGGCTGTCTCTTCAAAGTGGTAGATGTAGGTATACTCCGGATGGAAGATCAACTCACCTTAATCCGCACCATCATATTTAGGTGACCTTGGCTGTATTGCTCGATGACGTCACGGACGTCGTACGGTTTCCGAGCCTGTTGAAACTTTCTGCGAGCCACAAAGTACTTGATCTTCCTAATCGCCCGAATAGCGTTCCGGTGCGCCTCTGTCAACCTAAAAAGAGAGAAAAGGCGAAATTCAGACTGGTAAATTGCAACAGAGAAAGGATACATTACTCATCTTTCTCTTTTTGTTTTATGTGTAATTGTAAAATATCATTAAAGATAAAAATATGCTCCGGAGCGAAAGCTTTATCGTAATTGAAATATCATTTTGACAACATTTTGACAACTTCCGATCGCGAGCTACTTTGTTGTAGTGGTTCAAATTCTCTCGATTTAATTGAGGAGAGAAATTGATTCCTCCTCGAGTTGCAATCTTCGCTAACTTAATTTTCTTAGTCGATCACGTCGTGGCAAGAGGCAAGACGCAACTTGATACACCTCGTTTCCCTTTCATCGTTAGAAATAACCGGTAAAGTGCAACGCTGAATCCCGTTAACGTAAATTGTATCAAGTATCCTACGTTCAAAGCTACTTCTAAAGGCGCTAACGTTTTAACAGTCTCTATATATTAGGATAACCATGTACCTACCTCGGAAATAAATAAGTTTGTTTTCGAGATAAAGTAACGACGTAACGTCTATATCCTTTTCGTAATCCGTAGCGCGCGAAATAATTGTTATACGAGTTGGAAAATTGATTTGTGTCAAACGCACTATTACTCGGATCACAAGCTATCACACGTATATTGACCAAAATATTGGTTTTCTTCTCTCTCGACTTTGCGCGAGTCATCCCTTGGCTCTCGACAGCTCGTTCCCACGGCGCAGCGCGGCGCTTCACCGAAGAGAGCGGGAGAATATGCTCTTGAGAAGAGCGTCCATTCTTCAGGTATTTACGTCTCCGAGAACGCTTAGCTCCTTCACAGATGCTTTTGTCATAAGTGTAAATGGGAGAGAGAGTGCTTTATACAATGGCAAAACGTTGTGAGAAGCATTTATGAAGCGTCATGATAGAACATTTGATCGTTACTAAGAAAAGTCAGTAATAAATAGACAGATAAATAGATGGCTTTATTTTACTTTGAAATATAAATAAGATTTGAGATATAAATCACTTCATCTTTGAATAATTTCATATATATTATACTACTTACATATATTACTATATTTAGTGCATGCAAATATATTACTTCATGTTTCAAAGACAACTTTTGCATTTATCTTTATTTGGAGAATGTATTATAAAAAATATTATCAATTTTTATTTTTTTAATTCAAAAACATCAAAGAACACAATGAAAATTGACATATATGTAATATATCTCGTCCGCGCGAGTAAAATATGTTGTAAAAGAAACCATGGCACCCGAGTAGGATTAACGTCACAAAACGCAAAAACTCTTGTGCTCTTATATTTAATCCTATTGAGATAAAAAATCAAATATAAAATAAAATTATATTATTCTTGTTTCTAAACTAATGAAAAAGAATAGGTAACAGGCAAATAAAAATCACGAAAATTTACTATACTAAATGTTATTAAATAAAAAGTAAGAACATATTCAGTGTAACTCGTACAATAACCGAACAATAAAAAACAAAAATACAGCAAATAATAGGATGAAAAAGACGGGAATGAAAGCAAGAAGAGGGAAAAGAGACTGAAGGATCTGATTTCACGTAGCGAGACGCATAAAATGATGTTTTTAAACAAAATCGAGCGGATGTAGTCGATGATGAATAGCTGAAAGATACCCAAACGAGATGCTCTCTAGTTGCAATGGCGAGTATAAAGCTTCAGGCGGAAGTAGGTGAACCGAGAACGAAAGGGGTTGAGTGAAGCTGGAAGGGAAAAATCTGGCAAGTGTGTCTTTATGTACCTACAAGTTTCGAGCGTATACGTAAACGGCCGAGGCGAGCACATTCGTTCGACGCCGCGAAATCTGGGTCATTCGTACAGGCGCGAAGTAATGGCGCGGTAGAAAAAGCACTCACGAGAGTCACGAGCCCGTGCGAATGTACGAAAAGGGCCTTTTGTGCGGAATATCGTGCGTTCCATTCGCGCCCGCAGAACCGACTCTCTTCGAAATGTCAATGATGCCGCCGAAAGGCCTCCCTCCCTCAACCCTCATCGCCTCTCTTTTACGGACTTGAATGCGACGTGCAATTAAAATATAAAAAAATATTTTTAGCCTGAGGGATTCCGATTACACACACACACACACGCACACGCACATATATATGATTCCGGTGTCTAATTATTTCAAAGATGCTGTTAATACTTAACGAATGGAAGTAGAGCAGATTTTATTATATATCAGAAAATGTTGCTCCGCTACATTGAAACGTAGATAGATTGCACCGGTCCGATTCAAATATACACATAATGGCCAGATGTGTATTGAATTGAATTATTAAACTATCAAATTCAAAGGTCAAGAATGTGCTAAATATACCAAACATTCTCAGCGTTTAAAGTACATTTATATTCGTTTATAAAAATCTGGTATAAAATATTCCATAGAATAGATATTTCCTTAACGAAGATTTCATCGAAAGTCTGTTTAAAAGCGTTAATTAAAATTATCTTGCAAAAACCTATTCTATATATAAAAATGTAATATATATATGCATGCAATAAATATAAATGCAGACGGTCTTGAAATGGACTGTAATTTAAATACTTCTTCGCGCGAATATTCGTATTCAATAGTGTACTAAAGTGAAAAATATACGTGTATATACGCACTTTAGGTAATATTCAATACCCTCTATTTTTATTTCTCACTTGGCTATCTTTCAGTTGGAAGTGATTGATAATAGATGATAAAAATTGAAAAATGCGCGAATGTAAATGCAGAAGTGCGATGAAAATGACGATCAGATTACGCGGCTGCAGATCACATCACCAAGTTGCAAGCAACTTTCTTCGACGATATTACAGACCGAGCTCACGTATGTTCGGTTCTCCTTTCAAAGGACCGGAATTCGAGCCTTAGTAGTTCGAGTGGATGCATGAAGGGAACTTACAGGATTTTGGCAAAATTAAATTTCGTTGAGGAATAAAGGCATATTCTATTCTACTTGTAACGGAGTCCGCGCTGATGCGCGCGTAACGATCTGTGTGCAATATTTATCCGTATATTATGATACGGAGTATGCACGAGGTACAGGAAAATTCCTCGCTGTGTTATCGATTCCGCATACAAAGTAGAAGTAATTTGCATGGAGATATATATTCCTCGGTTTCCTATACTCTGATTTCGGTCGGCGCGATCTAACTCGATGTACACGCGAAACGGGCGTTTAATAACTTGACGATCGACTACCACGAAGACGGCAATGGATTCGAGAGTTGCTTCAGAAGTTACCAAACAAATCGTACATTTCCGCGTCGTTTGGATTAATATGTATCTTAACACACGTAGGACGTAGGGCGTGTAATAAAGATGTTGCCAAACTTTTGCAACGTGTTCCACTTAATCAAATAAACAAAGAGGCTTTAATAATTAATTATTGTTCCGAAGATTAACGGAATTTTTCGGATTATGAGGTTTCGTTTATTGAACTGTTACCTTAATTTATAGTAAAACATTTATATAGATAATAAATAATTTATAATTAGTCAATTGTTTGTTTTTCAATACGCACTTAAGCATGTTTGTCCATTGCCAATGTTATATTAAAAAAATCTTAGATTTCTCTTGTATATCTGATAGTGGAGTTTTAAATTCGCTATAATGTGCCACAACAAGTATATCAATTGCTATATTTTTTAAATAGACTCATAAATGAGATTTTTGATGTGTATTTCTTTTGTATTTTCTAAATCTGCTAAAATATGTATCGGAATGAATGATGAATGCGCTCGAAAACGTTATAACTAGCACGTGTATGCTGTAGGCAATGTAACATTTACTATATAATCCAGAAACAAATAATTTTCAGACCCCATGTTCCTTTTGTTTTTATGTGAATACAGCATGCTCTTATTAAAGTTTCACTCTTAATGATTAATGACTTCTTAACGCAATTTCTGTCGTAATAAGTGCGCATTGACAGATATGACAGGACTTGATAATAAAATCAGAAATCAATGGATACTTACATAGTTACTCTCTGCGGTTCTTCGATATCGATGTCAATTTCGTCACTAGTTGCCTCCGTCACCGAGCTAGTCTGCGAGGTGAAGAGGCTTCCCCTGCCAACCGGAAACACGCTAATCAAACCACGGGCTCGCGGATCTCGTTCTTTTGATATGACGAGATTGCTCCAGAGAAGACTCTCTTTAGGCAGATGCTGACGTATGTCTGTCAGGGTAACTTTTGTAAATCGTCGCTTGTACGATTTCATAAGAATCACTTCAATATAACAACGATCACATATTTAAATTGTGAACTTTACCGAAGTCTTACATTAATCACGCACACAGCGCTCGCAATATTACAACTTTCCGAAAATACATTGCTTGACAAATATATTAAATAATTAATTTTTAATATTTATCATGACGCATTCTCCTCGAAATTATTATTAAATGTGTCTAGTGATTATTATGGCACTTTCGATGCTTAATGCACCTGGTATCAGAACTTTCGGCTTCTACGCAGCGCATGACTTCTGAGAGTCTTTTTCCAGAGCAATTTACTAAATATGCATCCCTTGACAACAGAGAGAAATATCGTTGGGAGAGACTATGTCAGCACAAATAAGAAATATCTAAACCAAGAATTTACATTCTGTTTCGAAGATGTACATCATTAAAACGGTACCGCAGGCACGGTATAAATTCCGAACTCGAATCGATCAAATGCAGATTACAGAAAACACTTTGTTTTACGCAATATATTGCGATTTATCAAGATCTTATGTGCGCAAGAGTTTCTAGTTACGTTTAATTTAGATAATAATAAGTTAATAGGACAGATAATGTAGCAGTCAATAGTTTCAATTGTTTCTTCAACAGATCGTCAATTGATATGTTTCCGAAATTTGTGATGCTTCATGGACAAATTATGTATGAATACCATCTGTGATACCTTCCATCAACTTTCAAACACATTGATAATTGATGCGCTCGAAAACTGATGGAAGATATCAAATGATATTGATATGTAATATGTCGGTAATATGTCTCGTTAAATTACCGTTATTGTCAGTGTTATTTGAAAATTCGCGAGATAAATTTTTAATCTGATATCTTCAATTAATTCTCGAACATTGATGTCAACACAACTAATGATATGCAAACACACATATTTGTATATTAATATACAAAGTGATATTTACCTACATATAATCTGTGAATATGAAGAATCGCAAATTTTCACTTTATTTCTGAATGATCTATACTAGCATTGAATCGTTTATATTGCGAGTATGGTGTAGATTAAAATTTTCAACATATCGAAGGTAGCATGATACGTATTGAAACGTAATGTATAAAACAAACCAAAGCAAATTTTATTTTGCTCGAAATTTAATTATATATTAGATTTGTAATAATTTCTGCTAAAGCCGTTAGTATCCAAATAAATATTGATTTTAGCGGAAGATCAATTAGTTTTTAAATTATCGAAGAAACAAGCAAGCGATTTTTAGGAAAGATTAACTGTTTTAATGCTGTTCGATTGAAATGATGCGTCACTTGAAAAATTTTACGTAAGTTTCAAACGATAATTGTATAATAAAAAATCTCCGACGTATCAACGAATGTATCCTCTTTGAGAAGCAATTACTCGCACACCGCATTTGGGCAGTCACCGGGACAGCTCGATAAACTTTTTACTCGATGCCATTCGACGGGCACTCAAAAATAAACTCGCCAATTTCATGGTACCAGAGTTTCGTGTCCTCACCGTCGCATTTATCGAGCTGAAAGGCGAATCTTCCACTCGAAGAAATGGGCAGAGATTCGTTCGTTAAAGGTGACGATGTAAAACTCCTCATCGCGCTATTACGATCCGAACTTTGTACACGAAATTAATACATTGTAGTGCAATGTAACGCGAACGAGGCTGATTGGATTGGAATAATTTTCTTCGAAGTTATTTTGGATATTATAATTTTCTCCACCGACAATATTTGACAGGCAGCAATATACCATATGTATATATTAACTTTATGCACAAATTATTTTAATTTTATTACGCGTAAAAATTTTTCTATTTCTTATTTATTTTTCTGGAAATTATTTTATTTTTAGTTGTGTCCGAGGTTGTGTCACAAATGTAGGTTAGGTCTCACTTCTCTTATATTTCTTCACAAATTTTTTTTTTAATTTGGAGTTGATTTTTTGTTAACGAAATGTTGAGCTACTAAATTAAAGAAGAAAACTTTTTATAAGCTCAACTTTAACGAATAATTTTTGCTAAAGAAAAATCGACTCTAAATTAGTCAAAGCATCTGTTAAACATACTATGCGAGAAGTGACATCCTTATACAATTACGGATTTGTATATTTGATTGTTCCCAGTATAATCATAAAATAATATCCCAACACATCTCTCTCTCTATCTCTCTATCTTTATTCTGATTAAACGTACAAATATCTTATCACTCACCGATTGTCGCGTCTGGCGCGATTCGGCGTGCCCACCTTGGGCTCCTCCATATAAAAAACTACGTCCCCCTCGTTCTCGAGACGCTGATTGTCGTTCTGGCCGGTCCCGGCACCGGCCGATATACCGCCCGATATCGTAACGGGCGGCAGGGCCGATTGTTGTTGCTGCTGGACGTCCATCCGGTTCCGTGACTTCCGCCTCTTCAGCACACTCGCCTTCTTTGCCACCTGGATCATCAGAGACTGAACCCCCGGTGCCCTCCCATTACAACACACATCGAACACAACATGCACTATCCCTACTGGCCAGACATTCGGCCCCTTTCTCTCTCTCTCACTCTCTCTTTCTTTCTCTCTCTTTCTCTCGCTCTCTCTTTCTATCTCTCTTAAAACGATGAGCCCATCATCGTCGTCATCATCGACATCATTCGGAAGACATGATGCAAAAGCAACGATCTCTCCCGCGGGACGTTCGGAACGAAAACTTTCTGCGAGAAATTACGTTGATCGCGAGATGACGTCGTTTATAGCATCCTCTCAATGCGAAAACGAGTCGATATGATCTACACATCGTGAAATTCCCAGAGGTATAGATATATCGAGCATGTTACACACAAAGTGCACATCAAACTTCTTCTTTCGTTCTTGGGACTTTACTTTGTAAACACAAGACGTTCCTCGGTCAAACTATGCTAATAGTATAAATGAAAATGTTTTACCCGGACAAAATGCACATTTTACTCAGGGGAAAATGTGTTCTTTTTAAAATATATTTGTGTAAACATTCTAAAATTTATTATTTTCTTGACGTTAAAAGAATTTTAAGCGTCTCTTGACCTTCCAAGATCTTTGTTTTAATACCGTACATCTTTCGTACAGAGAGAGAATTGTCAAGCCGCACGACCGACGTAAATTCCCATTTTTGTGTCACGAATTTGCGAGCGAGATTTCAAGTCCTCCTGAAGGCTAACAATAAGATGCGGAGACAAGGAGTAACGTGTAGACGTACACACATACATTATACAGCTAGAAACGTTGTATGTAATTCAGGCTCATGCATGCTACAAAATATCTCTAAGTAAGATAAAGTTGCTTTTACATCACGTGACACTAATCGCTATCTTTAGAGAGAAAGAATACATAGAGTGCAAGAATATATAAGCTAGAAATATAATAAAGACGCAAACATGATCAAATAGACGATACTGTTATACTGTTTATAAGCAAGCTTTAAGAAGCTTACGCAAAGCTTCGTTCGTTCGAAAAGAAATAACTTGTACGAACGCACAGATAGATCATTTCGTTCGTTAAAAAAAGGAAAAAACGAAAAATTCAGTAGTATCTTGTTCGTCTTAGTTGGTATTTGTAGTTTCGACATTAAAAAGGAAACATCGAGCAAAAGGAAATGTCTCGAATAAATAAAAGATCGTGTAATATTGCAGTTAAAAGGGCGTAATGGTTTCATAAAAGTTATTCTTATTTCTTTTCTCGCTTGATAATCCGAAAATCTTCGGCAATGACGAATATTCAGATCCATACTCTCGGCGCAAATTTAAACCTCATCGAGACATAACACAATTTTCTCATTTTTTTTTTTTTTTTTAGTAACAACGAGATTTGATGGATTGCCGCATCAGTTCCTTTTCAGCTGTTGCTCATAAAGAAACGGTAAAAAGTTTTGATTCTAAACTTTTTTGTGATCCTGTCCGGAGTAATGTAACAAATGAAAATAAAGTAAAAATATTCTTTAATAAATAATTTGTTGATAAAGATAAGAAAAGTAAGAGTTATTTTTGAATATTATTTGAATAACAGTTTCGTTAAATTCATGTTACATTCTGAGAGTTAAACGTAACTACGGTGGATATAATTGTTCAAAGGCTCAGACTTAAAATTGACTATCTTCGTCACAACTAAACATGCGGCGAGAGAATAGGGTTCTTGTGATAGCGTTGAATATATTTTTTAATATGCGTATATTTTACATTCAGCAGACACGGTGAGTACAGTGATCCCGACTTACATAATATAAAAGATAGGACGTTTTACGTCGTGTAACAGATCCGTGTAAAGAAATGTGATAAAAAGTTTAGAAAAAAATAAACATGCAAAAGAGAGCAGTACAAATGAAAATAAATATAAACCATTTACATACCATCTTCTTTACACAAATCAACTGAAATATATTTAAGATATATTTTATCATCGTTAAATCATCACTGAACGCTCTTACTATCTCAAATATTGTAAAATCGGGGCTTGCGCGTGTTACGTGGTACCTGCGCGGTTTTGAGAGAAATGGAGTTTGAACATTTTGGCAGCAGATGCAAAATGGAGATACCGTTCCTACGAATATGTGACCGCTTCGTATTAAATCAAGCGTACGCGAAATGTGCCGATATATAGACTAATTTATCTCGTTCGATTTTTTTGCAAACTTTCTTGTTAAAGATTTGAATTTAACATCAGAATGACGCTGTAATAGTTATGAAAATATATGTTTCAAACGTATACTTTGTACATACATTTCCCATTAACCGAGCAATTTTTATGACGTTTGGATACTTGATATAAGGTCATGGATACAAAAATACAATAGATATACCGACGATAATAATCACAAGCAAAATGGAAATCAAACACATCCCCGAAAAATCAAGCGCTATTCTAAAAATACCGGCAACGTTATTTGATCCGTGTTCAAAAGCAATTTATTTGAGGATGACAACTATTGGAGTTTTTAAGCGATAATGTTTGAAATATAAATTTAATTAAAAAAAAAAGGAATATTACGAAGATAGAAACGCTACTGATAAAATTCGTTGACTGACTTTTCATGGAATTTGTATCTACGTAACACGATGAGCCAGTCAATATTATTTAAACGACAACGTTTGCAATTTACATATATGGTAACTGTAAAAAATAAAGAAACATAAAGTTATGAAGCCCGAATGCGTGACTATACGAATGCAAAAAGTTTGCTGACTGGCATTTCATGGAACGACGATAATTTCATGTTAAAAAAGACTACATTTAAAAACAAATGTAACATAAATGTGTAACATATCTTAATGGATATCTGCATACATTTCATGTGCTTAGCATTCCAACTAATAAACGATACTATTAAAATTATGGGGTATATACATATTCAAAGGATAAAACCAATCCAATAACAAAAATTTCGTTAAAAATGAATTGTCTACGTTACGAACTATAATGAAACCAAATTGAACTAACGAAAAACGGAAGCGCAACTTTCATTATCTCATATGTAAGGGGGGATAATGTACAGAAGCCTCTAGCGCAATTTAATTGCATAAACACACGTATGTGACTAGCAACATGGAGGAGAAAACAAAATCGTTTGGATTTCGGCAATAAATAACGGCACATTGAGAACATCGAGCAAAAGATTCGCATTCTCCGCTTGCATCCATCCACTGCCAAATTATCATCGGATAAATAAGAATATAAAAGTACACGGCCGTTATAATTATTGCTATTACACGATACTAGGATTTACTAGAGTGTAAATAATTATCGAAAAATAATATTATACGGCGGAACTCCCTCGCGAATCTCATTATGCGTTCTCTTGGGTCTTATACTGTGTAAAGGTAAATATTTATTTTTAATTTTATTTGGTAAATATAATAATCTAATTTTCTTAACAACCTGGTATATTTCAGTATATTTAAGATAATTTATAAATACTAAAATATATTATTTACTTGTATCAATTAAAATTAATTAAAAACGTATATATACCAATTATAACAAATTAAAGAAGTTTCGTATTTTTGATCAAGAATATAAAAGATCTCTATCGCATTGACATTCGCTTACTTATCAAATTTTGATTTGAGAAACGTAAGCCCAATATATTTGCTATATATTCACTTTTAATGAAATATTCAATAATTTATAGCCTATTGGTTATTAGTTTTAAGGAATAATTTTATCGCCTCGTGTGCTATCATTTTTTTGAGTTGTTTCATACTTATTTGAGTGGTATAGATCGACACCAGGCAAATTTGATTTCTCGTAATCCGCTTAGAGCACAACGACCAAGTCAACCCTTGCGACTCGACGGTATTAGTCGACAATCCGCTCGCGCGTGGAAATGCAATCGCGTAAAAGGTAAAAGACGAGAGATCTTGGTAGCAATTAACTTGGATATGATATCACGGGTAATTCCAGATCCATTAGCGTGCTCGGCTGCGCCTCGGATCGACCGAATCGCAGACAAAATTACACGGGAGGGGGGAGAGGAGGAAAGGGAAAGAGATACGTTTTTCATTACGATTACGAGATTCGCGACGGATTAGCGCGGCACAGTAATCGCTCGTGGCACGGTTAAAACGTCCAAAAACATTGTGTAAGCAGCTAAGAACATCAACAGTCAACAGCTAAATACGTCAACGGCTACTGCGCTCCGGTCTTCGTTAAACCCGCAAACGGGAAACGTTACCTTGCCCAGAGGTGTCGAGGGTTGGCCAGCCGGCGCCGGGTCCTTGATGTAGATATTCCACGTAGCGACACTGTTGATGGCCTTATCGGAGGCATAACACCTCCACAGACACTGTATCAACATTGCGGCAGCTGGTATTTGCCGATTAAAGTGCTTCTGCCGTTGCTTCTGCTGTACTTTTAGCGCGAAGCCAGAACCTAGAATACCCTGTAAAAGAAATGGGAAAACACTTACGAGGCATGATAACAGTCACGCTTAATTGTTTGGATTTCTTATCGAGGGACAGACGGTCCACCACAAATACAAAAATTCAAGTCCGGATTCTTTGGTCAATATTTCCCTTACAAAAATGTTATGGAACTTGCTCACGAGTTACAAATAAGTCTAAAATAGTTTTCTTGACAATTAAAATTTAGAAAGAGACAAATAGAGATAATATTTAGTTAATATTATTATAGATTTAAAATAGATTTAGGGATTTGGAATAAACAAATGTTTGTGTGTGTGTGTGTGTGTGTGTGTGTGGATTATATTTCTTATAATTACTTGAGTTTAAATAAATTTTGATAAAATTCATTTGAGGTTTGATTACAAAGATATACAAAATGGAATAGCACATTGTAAATGTCATTTTCTAAAAATGTGATTAAATGTCCTTTTTATATTGAATCGCTTAATCTTATTACCCTGTATATAAAAGTATTAAAATAATCTAAAAAGTTAACATCTTTTTTACCGAAATGTCAGAATAAAATATAACTTATCTTATAAGCTTTTGCTTTTTTTATTATTTTAGTTTGATATTTTTATATGCAAAATAATTAGAGAAATCGAATTATGTAAAAAGAGCATATAATTCCATTTTTTTTTAAATATTGATATTAATTTCTCATAAAAACGTTTAGAAAAGAATTTATTGTATGGTATATTTCTCCGAAAACGTAAAATTTTTATTTAAAAAAATTCTTTTTTCTAAAATAAGAAGTGATGTTAATAATAAACTGCAATTTTTGGAATGGCATGGCATATTAAAATAATCCATTCTTTATAATATTGAAAGTTGAAAACTTATGATGAATGACTTATGTTTTCGTGTAAATATCTTTGTTCAGGAAAAATTTATTCAATATATTAATTAAAGAATCTACAAACTATAGGGGAAATAACTATAATAATAAGTAAGAGATATTCTGTATGTTACAAAACAAGGGGAAGAATATTTTTTATGATAACATACTCACAGCTGGAAGTGCGAAAAAGGATATGGCGAACACACTGAAACACGAGGCCACTATTTTTCCCATCCATGTTTGCGGGACTGTATCACCGTAACCTATCGTCGTTACTGTGATCTGCAATACCGAAAAGCATCAAATACTCCTGATGTGCACGGAATTATTCTGTACGCACAACGTCGCATTCCTAATGATACTGACAATGAGTCTAGCCCGGAAAATTTTGCCGTACAAACTGTCGACATTTACTTTACTATAAAGGGTTTAACTCACGAAATACAATTAGTTGAACCTATTAATTAGCACATATTACACTCCAATATGTAAGTAATTTGTGTGCTGCCTGCGTGAACGATGCTGCAAACTTATGCAATGCAAACATCGGTACCTATCGATATTTGTTGAAATATACGTACTGTTATCACAATAATTTGTGAATCGATTGTTTCCGCGATCATTATCGTACTGAATTTTTTCATAATTTTTCGATGTTATCGCCAATTAATTACCGTATCCGTTTTTTAAGTTGTATCCGCTTTCTTTCACAGAATTAATTTAATTTATTGCATTTTATTCCCACTTTTAAATTCTCTAATTATTAAATTGTGTATTTTTTTAATACTTGTGATGATTTGGAAAGAATTAGTTCCAAAATCTGTCTAGATGTAAAAATATTTTGTTTATCTTTATCATGGACATAAATACACATTATAACAAATGATTCAAATTTGACGAAGGATGATCAACGGTGTTAATAATTAATAATTAGAGAATATAATTCGTTAAAATAATTAGAGATAAACTCACCACTCCCCACCAAAGCGCATCGGCGTAACTCGAGAAATCCGTCTTGCCGTCGGGTCCAACTTCATCTTTCTCGGCAAGGTATACGAAATAGCTGCTGAAAATAAGGCCTAGGAACCCAATGTACAGCGTTGTAATCAGCTCCTGTTAAATAAGAAAAATAAAAATATATTTTGCAATTATTAACACCAAAATTTCCTAAATGTATGTAATGTATATGTTAGAGTCCCTCTAATAAGATTCGCGACATCTTGAGTTTCGGCAAAATAAGAGAGAAAGAGAAAGCGATCGATATACAAGTGATATACACTCATATCGCTTTCTCTTTCTCTCTTATATCTCTTTCTCTTTCTGTTTCTCGTGCTTTTGCCGAAAATGCGAACCAATCAAAAGTTGCTGCTACGTGTCGCGACTCTTATTAGTCTCTCTTATTAGAGGGACTCTAGTATATGTTATAAATATAAAAATATAGAAATTGTTATTCCCATCACGGGTGCGTGCACAGATATACACTTGCTTAGAGATGGTTAAAATCACTGCTAAAGAGTCTATTTCTTGTACAATCGGTCGATATACCTGACGATGTATGTAAACCACCGAACCCAAAAGCCGCCACGTGCCGCCTTGACGATCGACATGAAGCATTCGTAGAATTTGCAAAAACCGAATGCCTCTGATGGCGGAAGTGGCGAATACCTGACCGTTGCTTCCTACCGACAGGACTACCATGGACGCTACTACGACGATTAAATCTTAAAAGAAGAAATGAGACAAGTGCGATCAATACAAGAGAGTAAATATAATCGCGATAGATTCGAACGTAATACATGTTGTTATAAACGGAACGTAATTTGCCCACATCGCATCGATTAGAATACATACACGCACGCGCGCGTATATTAAACGCTAAGTATATTAAAAAAATATTTTTGGATATTGATTAAGTATGTATAAGGTGTGGATTAAGTACGTATATATAATCGGCTGCAGACGATAAAAGCAAAGCGCGTAATCCGATTAATGCCTCGTTCGACGTTACCATTTATCTACAAAATTCGTCGACGATGCACACACACACACGTTGTTGTCGATTAAAAAGAGTTCTCTTTCCATCCGCGCGCTACGAAATTGCCGGAATAGATGTAATTCCAGTTGCATTTCCCCGACTGGTCTGTTAATAATAATGCTCCATTTCCTACATTACTTTTATGGACAAAATGAAATGAAATAGAGTATATTAATAATCGAGAATACAGGGAAATAACCCATGTCCTCGATTATTTGAGACAACTTCTGGAGAAGAGGAATGCGTGGATAATCAAAAAACATAGATAGAAGATCTAGTCAGTACTATTTACCACGCGGTTTGCAATAAACACGTAAAATCGGCTTGAAAATACAACTGCTTTACTCAAATTGCAGATGTACACGAATACGCACGACTGTTAGAGTACAGAGAAATTTACATGGTAAAAATCTTGTTCTAACAATTGTTCTGCATAATCTGCGAGCAATTAAACACGTACGTTATACAATACATGTAGAAATTTTGAAATTTAATCATTTTAACAGTAATCTAGTTGTCAGATAATATTTGAAAAAAAAATACGCTCGGTTTTTGTTTTCGCTGTTAAGCTTCCAATCGCGTATTTACCATCAAGTAGATAATTACAAAGTTTGCAAAATAGATGCCAGGTAATCAATTTTAGGCGAGTCTTCAATTAAGGAAGGAATTTCCCCGCGAACTGTTCGCATGTGTTTCGTTTATAGAACGTGTCCAACAGAACGATGGCTGCGATACAAAACGCTCGCAATCTTGATTTTAGCAAAATGGATTCGCTATTAGAATCAGAGCTTAATATTATAAAGTTGGCCGATAGCGACAGTCACAAACGATCCTATGCAAGCGATCCGAAACAAAGAGATGATTGTCACGATCCTATTTTGCGCCGATCGATCAGACAATGCAAATATCAGCTTAATTTTGGCTGTGTCGCGTTTTATAGTCATGTCGCGACTTGCCGTTAGGAGAAAACAAACTCACCTATGATACAAATCGGTTTCCGTATGAATCGCAGCCGTCCACAGCAGCCCATATACTTCGATCTGCAGCCTGCGCTCCATAGTCGAACCAGGTATTCGACTCCAAAGAATACCACGAGACATATTTCCTGAACAATAATGAAGTGTAATTGATTTCTTAGTCTTTTAACTTGATACTTTGAATGCATAGCACTCTAGTACAAGATAGACCTGATACAATCAATAATTTTTTGAAAAAAGATAAAAATTAAAATTACATAATAAAGTTCTTACATGTACGAGGTTTAATTTTCGAGAAAAATATCTTTAAAAATTAAAAAATTAATGACATATTTAAGAATTAATAATATGGTCTGAAAACTTTTTGAGAGAGAGAGAGAGAGAGAGAGAGAGAGAGAGAGAGAGAGAGA